ATTTAACAAAGCAATTATTCATTCGATTAACAAACAGTCACAGACCCCTCACCCAATAAACATACTGGGTGCCAGGATGTCTGGACACCAGGCCCCTGGTTACCATGGCAACCAGGACAATTCAGCCAGATCAGATAAACTTTATGACCTAAAAGTATGTAGAGAGAATCTTCCCCCCTACTCAATTCTCTCTAAAACAGACACATACTGCAATAGGAAACAACTTCTTTCATCAACTCATAGACACATTTTTCTATGACCTTCCTATCATGCATATCCCCAGGTCATTGTGTATGATTACTATCTTCTTGTATATGGTCTTTTGTATTGTATACTGTTTTATGCATGCTTATGATATAACCACTCGTTCATGTAATCTTACCATGTTTAGTATCTATGAATTCATCTTCTGATGATCTAAACGAGCGTGTATATTATATGTTGATACATAGGCAATATATTAGTGTTCTAAGAATCTTTAGTAATTTTGCATCAACTCCCAATCGAGTTTCATATGCAAATTACCATGCTCTCAGACAAAGGGTCATAAAACTCCCCAGTATTTCCAACCTCCCGCTTGGAATTTCCTTTCTCATTGGACAAGCCCATCCTGAGTGGCGTGAATCTTCTCAGACCTTAAAGGGCTCACGCACAGTTCCGCCCTGGTCTTCTGCTAAGTCTTCTGATTGCTGTCTATGTGGAGAGTCGGTGCATGCGTGCCCGGTGGGCTCCAACACATAGCCTTTCAGTCGCCGGTTATGTTAGATTCTATATACATATACATATTTTTATTTATTTTTTATTTTTTTCAACACGTGTGATGGGAATTTTTTTTGATTAAAGACTAGATCCCGCCGGTCCGTCCTTGGTTTGTCAGTTGCCTTTTATTTTTTATTTTTTTTTTCTTTAATTTTATTTCAGTTTTCTTGCTTAGTTTTATTTTCTATAATAGTCTTGCTTCAGACCCACAGGTGGAGCAGGGCGAACACCATTCGTGTGGTGAGGAGGACGACGATCCCAATTCATGGTGCGACTCAGTTACCGACCCCGCTTTATGGAAAAACATTTCCAGTGATAAAGTGAAGTCTATTCTTATCAGAAGAGGAGCAGCTCCTTTCCAAAATCAAAGCAGCAAATACCCAGTGCCTGTGAGGGATAGGACAATCGGTGGGAAGGCTAGGAATTTTACCAACGCATTACTCAGCTGCTCTTTGCCAAATGGCCAAACTGTTTCTTGTCAGTCAGTGGTTACTGTACTCCCCGTCAAGTGGAAACTATTTTTCACTAAGCATAATGCCTTCGTTGACGGATTTTGTGATTGGAAACCTTCGGAGAGGATTGGGGAACATGAGAGAAGCGCGGAGCACAAGGCTTGTATGCAAATGTTACATTGGCACTCAAGGGGCAAAGAAACTACTGACTCAGAGAGGGAATACTGGAAGCAAGTATTACGGCGAGTTGTATCAGTTATCAAGTTTTTAGGAGAGAGAGGACTGGCATTCAGAGGAAGGGATGAGTTGTTGGGTTCAGCTCATAATGGAAATTTTCTAGGCATCCTCGAACTTTTGGCAGAGTATGATCCATATTTAGCTGAACATATCCAAAAGATTGGGTGGAAGGGAAAGGGCACTGTGTCCTATTTATCATCGACGACGTGTTAAGAGTTTATTCAGCTAATGGGGGAGAAAATCAAGCAAACCATAGCTAAGGAAATTCAAAACTTTTCTGTAATTGTGGACTCAACCCTAGACCTCTCTCATGTTGATCAACTGACTTTTATTTTTAATTTTGTTGATCCTGATTGGCATGTGGTTGAGCGTTTTTTGGCATTCGAACCAATAGAAAGTCACACTGGGGAGAGCTTGGCTGACTGCATTTTGGCCATGGTTGACAGTCTTGGGCTTGACCTATCCAGTTGTACTGAGATATAAAAAGGGAGAAGAACATTTACGGCAATAGGGGGACATGAACTCGGGTCGCTCGCATCAAAAACACTACGCAACCCGCGTTACCACTTATGCTACTGAAAATGTTGTTGAGCAGCCGTCTTTTGTAATGTTGTCACGTTAGTGAGCGGAGATGAAGTAAAGAAGTAAAGACACTTTGTGTAAATAGACACTGTTAATTAAACACTACAGAAAATGGCATATACTCCAGTAAATTTTTTCAGGGGGAGGACCCACCCACATTTATTTTGCTTCCAACACCCATGATTTTAAGTAATCATTCAATAATGAGATCGATAAACGAGCGAGTCAGTCAGCCAGTAAAATGAAAAATGACCCTTAATTTTTTAATTCTGCGAGCGCTGCATTTAAACAAATTTCAGGGCTCTGTATAGGTAATTACACATTAACATCTGCAACGTTTTTATTGGAAAGATAGTTTTACAGGGTTATAAAAATAACCTGGGAACAACCATAAGGGAACATTCTGTATAAGTTATTTTTAGGTTATTTAAAAATAACCACCCTACAACTTTATGGGAACATTATTTTATGGTTGCAAAAAAACAACCTAAAAATAACCATTAGGGGAACATTCTGTATAAGTTATTTTTAGGTTATTTTAAAAACAACCACCCTGAAATGTTCTGGGAACGTTATTTTATGGTTGCAAAAAAATAACCTAAACATAAACATTAGGGAACGTTTTGGTAACGTTATTTTATGGTTACAAAAAATATAACCTAAAAAGAACGTTCCCCTAACATTAGTATTTGGTTCTTCAAAAAATACCCAATCGGGAACCAAAAACTAACGTTAGGGGAACGTTCTGTGTTTGCTGGGCAGTGTCTTCCTACCTTAACCAACGCACTTGCATTTAAATCTGGATCCCCCACCTCTCTCTCTGTCGCTCTGTGTACCTGGCCTTTACCACTACACTCGCTATCTTCGGAGCGCGTCCCCCTTCCTTCTTTCACATAACGGTATGATCCTAGTCTATCTTCCCATGTGATTAGCCGCATGTGTTTTTTTTTTTTGTAACGGAAAAAAAAGCATAAAAATTAGGCTTTTATGAAAACACTGAATAAAAAAATTGCTTACCAACACACAAACCATTCACAATTGCTAAATTGGGCTAAAATAGAAGGCTCCAGCTGAAGAGAATCGGCTCTTAGAGCCGGCTCATTCACGAACGACACATCACTAGATTCAACACAATTTTTTAAAGGGGTCCTATTATGCTTTTTCACTTTTTTAATTTTAGTCAGTGTGTAGTGTGTATGTTTGGGCATAAAAAAGATCTAGAAATTTACAAATCTCAAAGTCCACTCCAAAGGGAGATATTTAGTTTTTTAAAAATCCATTTTCAAGAACTACAGCAAATGGCTCGTTTGCTGGTCTATAACAATTCTTACAAGTATAACACGACGTAGCTGGACGGCGCGGTGTGCCTACACTCATAGAAAATAATGTATTTGAATTTTAAAGACGTGGCGTGACGGTGTGCTTCTCGTCCGGTGTGCGACCGCCTGAAACACTGTTTTTTTCACCTCCGTGCCCAAACGTCTTTGTTTGGCCTTCCGAAAGCGGATGATGTCAGGAAACAGAGGTTGCAATTGACTTTTTAACTCTGTTCCTGAGCATTATAACCCCAATTTGCTATTGTGTGCTGTGCGTTTTACTGAGGACAGCTTTCACATCATGAGTGAGAAGTGCTGGATTCCCAAAAGCCTTTGTTTGAAAGACGGAGCAAGGGGGCGTGGCAGTACTTGAAACACCGTCTAAGCTGTTCGCCAATCACAACGCACTGGGACAGCTAACCAATCACAACACATTTTGTTTTTCGGAAGGCGGACCTTCATCAAAGTCGGAACTAATCGAGCCGTTTGTGCGAGGATGGGGAGAAAGGTATTGTAATAATGTAAATTATGTGAAAAATAATGCGTTTTTCGAACCACCAAGCATGAGAGCATGTTCTAGTACACCCCCAAAACAAAATCAAGACTTTGTAAAAGGACCCCTTTAAGTTCAGGGGAGACAAACACTCTAGTTCAGTCGGCTTACAAACTAGTTGAGGAGTGAAAACTTAAAATGTTAAGTTGAATGAACAAATTCAGAAGTTGCAAGTTGTCAACTTAAAAAAAATCATCGAAACAAATAAAATGCCAGATAATTTTTTACAGTGTGTTTTCTCTGAGGTCCAAACTGCCTTTTATCTGCAGACCATAAAATGGAGTGATAGGCCGCACTGTATTCTTTCTGTCTTGTTTGCAACTCTATGCAAGCGTTCAACAACAAACTCCTCACACTTATTTGTAAAAGGAAACAAAAATACTTGCTTGTATGATACATATAACATTACATACTACATATATATACTGTACATTGTAACAAAAAACCAGAAGTTGCAAGTTGTCAACTTAAAAAAAATCGAGAAAAATAAAATGCCAGATAATTTTTTACAGTGTGTTTTCTCTGAGGTCCAAACTGCCTTTTATCTGCAGACCATAAAATGGAGTGATAGGCCGCACTGTATTCTTTCTGTCTTGTTTGCAACTCTATGCAAGCGTTCAACAACAAACTCCTCACACTTATTTGTAAAAGGAAACAAAAATACTTGCTTGTATGATACATATAACATTACATACTACATATATATACTGTACATTGTAACAAAAAACATACTCTTCAAAGTTGTAAATAAAACAAAGGTTATTTGAGCATGTTTTAAAAGAAAATGCTACCTTTCTACTTCAAAATTTCACGTTTAACTCAGTTACACGTGGTTTCTTTTTTTAACTATTTGCAGCAATTTCTGAGTGAAAAGTAAATCCGGTTACACTTTACTTGAAGGGGTGTGCATAAGACTGACATGACACCTTCATAATCATGACATGACACCTACATAATTATGACCCTACTCCATTTGACAATTCAATTTCACAAAATGAAACTACACATTATTAACAGTCCATGTTTATCAAACATTTATCAAATAGCTAAAATGAACTAAGCAGTGCATGTTATCCGTTATGTTATCAGTAAAGAATAACATTATCGGATTTTCTTATTAAGTGCTGTTTGTGGCCTGTTGGTTGTTTTTTCAGGTAAAATAAGTCTTAACTTCCTCTTTGGTGAGCCCTCAGTTGAAGATAGATATTCTTGGATGACAGGTGCTGCAGAGCTCATCAGGTCTGAACTGCTGGACTGATCCACCACATCTTGTGGAGCAGCGGATTCACTCACAGGAAGTGCAATATTTGGATTGAATAGCTGCTGAGTGTCACTGGCATCCAGAACGCCAGGGTGTGATGGAGCTGTTAGACGGTTGTGATCATCTGGAAGAGCTAAACTGAGCATTAGTGGGAGTGTTGATGGCATTTGAGGTTCAGATCTACTGTTGAAGGCAGTGTCTAACAGAGTTTCTCCTTGAACAGAAATATAATTTTGACCTTTTTCTTTAATGACAGCATCTGTATCCTTAGACATGGACTTTGATTCCTTGTTTCCTTTTTTAGCACGTTTCGACTTAGAGGTGCCTTGCACAGTATCGGTTTCCTCTTCCTCACTTCCTAAGCATTCAACGTTATCTTTTGATTTTTTGCTAGTTTTATTAATTTTTAATTTATCTTTTTTGTCCTTTTTGATTTTTAGTTTTTCCTTTTTTGCCTTTTTGTACATCTTGTCTTCTACAATATCTCTTTCGTCAATGGACTTTGGATGTACTCTGCTTTTTCGAAGGGGGTTTAAATTTAATTTAACTTTCAGTGTTTTATTTGCTTGTCCTCTGGTTTTCTGGGTTTTAGTCTTACCCAGCTTTTGGGGGCTTTTCTGTGCAGATGTTTTAGATTCTTTCATCCTGCTTTCCTTTTTGTTTCTGTCAGCTGTTGTGGTGAGGACATGTTCCTCCGTCTCGGCTAGATCAAAAGTAACGCTTCTTTGAGAAGCTAACTTAAAGCCCAGCTCACTAACTTGACTCTCACCATGTCTCCCAGCGTTTGACTTGTCATAACCCAAGATGTCTCTGTATAGCATGGCATTGTACATTTGTGCTCCATTTTGAACTGTGTTCTGTGAGTGATTTGTAAATGGAAAGTTCTGGTTATTACTCCCAACTTGTCTGTATGCATAAGTCTGATGACAGTGCAAACAGCTGATGGTTTGGTAAATCGGTTGAGCACCAACATCCTCAGCCTGGCGTTTTAACAGTGAATGATTTCCTTGAGTTATTGCATTGTGGATTTGGTCTGGGGGTCTGAACGTGCCACTCTGGAGGGCTGAGAAATTATTACTGAGGGCCTCCTGCCGTATTCTGACAGCTGATTTATTGTTTGAACCCCCACGATGTTGGGAAGAAGTACCCTGACTGCCCAGATAGATGTTTGGAATGCCTGCCCCGCTCACATTATGTCTTTGTCCACTTGTGTCTGTGAGTAAAACAGAGAGGTAATAAAGATTTAAAACAGGCATTTGAGAATGTGCTTAGTGGTATAAAACAACTAAATAAACTAGATGTCACCACTGGAATGGAAGGAATAGAAGGTGTTGCTATGCAGTTAATAGGTGGTTGTTTACGAAATATTAGTTTTAAATACTGTTATACGGTAAATAAGAACTTATATATGCAATATAGATTTTTATAAGTTACAATTGACTATAACTATACTATAACAAAAACAAAAATAAATTAATACTAAACATAAATATTAAACCAAATAAAAAAATTACAAACGCATACAACAATATGTATAAACATTTTATATCTATTTATAAATATAATAATTTATAAATGACTCTAAAATAATAATGCTAAATGCTGGTTGGAAATCATGAGATTAATAATTAATTTGTTCTATTTTAGGTTTTTGTCCTAAAAATATTCTTAATGGGAGATTATAAAAATTGTAATTGTATTTAAATCTATTTTTATTCATTTTATAATATTAAATGTTTTCCAGATAATATTTTACACATATATGTAATATTTTAAATTTGGACTATTAATGGGTCTTTAAATATGAAAATATATAGCTGCATTTACGTTCTAAAAAAATACAGCAAGGAGGTCATTATATTTGTGGGTCTGTGACGGTTTAAATGTTTGAAAACCTCTTCCTTAGCAGATACTTTTAAAACATTTCAAAGCAAAAGTTGTGCTTGCTAGATTACCTTTGATCTTTTGTTGCAACACAGAATGTTGATAATTTCCTTCATGTTGGCGATTAGCCAACTGTTCACCTACATGATTGGCTTTCTGCAGGATAATCTCTCTTTTGTGCTTTTCTACAGCAAGTGCTGTAGAGCTGCACTTGTGGCAGGTGAAATGACTGTCCAGCATGTCTGATCCTAGATAAGGAGAGTCTTCTGTGTCCCAAGGCTGATGGGATTTGTAGTTGCTGTTGTACAGTGCATGACTTGTAGACAGAGTGTCCTTGCCTTCACAGAAATTACACTGGGTTGACTCCAGGCTGAACGTTTTCCTTTCCCCAACTCTATTTTCCTCCTGCACCAGTTGAAATTTCTTACTGAGTTTGTGGTATGCAATGGCAATCATTCCCAGGGTGATCCCAACACCACCTACAATTAAAAGCAGAACTGATGAAGTGATTCCATTAAAGGGTTAGTTCACCCAAAAATGAAAATGCTGTCATTAATTACTTACCCTCATGCTGTTCCAAACCCGTAAGACCTCCGTTCATCTTCGGAACACAAATTAAGATATTTTTTATTCATTCTGACAGCTCTATGATCCTCCTATAGACAGCAAGGGTACTACCACGATCAACGTCCAGAAACGTAGCAAGGAGATCAGTAAAATAATCCATGTGACATCAGGGGATCAACCTTAATATTATGAAGCTACGAGAATACTTTTTGTGCGCAAAAGAAAAAAAATAACGACTTTATTCAACAATTCATCTCCTCTGTGTCACCCAACGTAGCGAAATTTCGGAGAGTATCCACTGAATGCAAATGGCGTATGTTGTTCTGTGTCAACCGCACCACACGGATACGTGTGTTTTGATTCAAATCAAAGCACAAACAACGTAGAAAACGTATCCACGTGACGCAGCTGACACATGTAACAGGTATGGAAAGTAATGTTAATTTCATATGTAGAATTACACAAACATTTTCACGATGTATACCTGATATGCCTGTCTGTGTGTGCACCTTCCCCTTTAAATTTCAGACAGCAGCGTTAGTCTTCATTTCCTGTCTTTGCACCTCCTCTTCCCTTTCTGCACTGTCTCTGCATGAGAGAGGTAGGTTTCTAATGAGCTCTGATTAATCTAATTTCATCTTTGCTTTAAAAAGCACTTTTATACTCGGTTTAAATCATATTTGTGACATTATTTTATATGTATATTTGATTATTTCTGTATTTTCACTAAGTTTGATCAGTTTTCTGTCGATCGATGCACTTGAGACACATGCTAATTGCGTTGCACTTTGCATTTATTTAACAGAAAAGACAAGAAGGGCGAAAACACACTGTAAAGACTGAAAGAAGAGTCGAACCGTCAACTGATGTCTGTCTGGTTACTACTCTGAGAAAAAACACAATGCAGATTACACCGGTCACACACAGAACAACATATGCTTTTTGCGTTCAATGGATACTCTCCAAAATGGTGCTAGGGTGACGTGGAGGAGACGAATCGCAGATTACACCGGTCACACACAGAACAACATATGCTTTTTGCACAATGGATACTCTCCAAAATGGTGCTAGGGTGACGTGGAGGAGACGAATTGAATAAAGTCGTTTTTTGTTTTTTTGCGCACAAAAAGTATTGTTGTAGTTTCGTAATATTACGATTGAACCCCTGATGTCACATGGATTATTTTACCGATCTTCTTGCTACGTTTCTGACGTTGATCGTTGACCCTTGCTGTCTATGGGAGGGACAGAGAGCAGTCAGATTCCATCAAAAATATCTTAATTTGTGTTCCGAAGATGAACCGAGGTCTTATGGGTTTGGAACGACATGAGGGTGAGTAATTAATGATAGATTTTTCATTTTTTGGTGAACTATCCCTTATTGAATTAAATAAAAAAAATGGAATTAAAAGGGGAAAAAAGTAATGTTTCATGAAAAGTATCCGAACAACAGAACAAAAACAGTTAAACAATTTTGTTAAAGTGCATACTGCAGGTTAGAGATCCATGCAATGTATAGAAAAATAATGTAGGAACTAGATTTTGTTTAAAATATACATTTAAATATGCTACTTGAGACTTCTGGAGACTTCCGCATCTGAAAAATGGCAAAACTGGATGTGATTTAATGAGAGTGAGTGCAGTCAATTTAAAGGTCCACTGAAGTGCTTTGAAACCAGTCTATGCTTGAAACACTATACGGGGAGGCTACAGACCTGGAGCAGGCAGATCTACGGCTCAGGCAGGTCCACGCCCCTGTTGTTCCTGATGCGTCCAGTAGGGGGAGGCTGTACAGTACAGAACAGACCAACCCTGCATCCCAATGTTCATACTATACATTCTAAATAGTATGTGAGATTAAAATAAGTGCGTCCCAAAGCATATATGTTGAAAAGTGTATACCAGAAGTCCCTGGATGGTCTATTATTTCAGGTAGGTTTTTGAAGTGTGGATCCGTGCCAACTCTAATGGCTAATATTGGGGCAGTTGTGGCCTCAAGCTGGTCAAACCAGCCTTGGTTCCTAGACCAGGGGAACCACCCCGGCTGAAGAGATCTGGGTTGCGCCATGGCCTCAGAGCTTCGATGCAGCCGCGGGAGACTGTGATGCTCAAACGGCCCGAAGTCCACATCGTTCAAGAGACTCGAGATTTCAGCCATATCTGCAGCGGGCGCGTGTGTAGTAAACCCAGATGACACACCACTGATGCCGCTGCCATGAGTCCCAGCAGCCTCTGAAATTCCTTCAAGTGAACAGAGCTGCCCAGTCGGAAATGGTGCAGGGAAGACAAAATGGTAGCCGAGTGCTCCTGAGAGAGGCGCTCAGGAGCCCAAGTTGAAGTTGTATTTCAACTTGGCATCTCCACCAAGTTGAAACACAACCCCAGATATGTTATAGACTGACTCGGGGTGAGAATGCTCTTCTGCCTGTTGACACATAGCCTTAGGGAGTCCAAGTGACAATGCAGCATCTCTGTATGGCCAACTAGCGTGTCCCGTGACTGAACTAAAATCAGCCAATCTTCCAGATATTTGAGAATGCGCATCCCACTCACTCTGAGGGGGGAAAGTGCTAATACTAAATACTAATAGCGAATTGCACTTTGGTTCCTATTTTACAACGAATGTAAAAAGTAATTGTAGCCTAGTTACAGTGATATATATATATATTATGTGGGGCTGGGTTTTTCACATGACACAAACGATGACATATTTCAAAGAGTCAATTCTGCTGTTTTTCACATGCACTGTGATCTCTGGCATTTCATTATCTAGTATAATAAACATATCCTATCGCACAGTATTAAAATCCGGTGTTGCACCGAATTCTGTGACCCACTGAATTATGTGACCATAGGCGCTACATTGAGCTAATCCGACCTACTCCTAAACCCAATCCTAATCCTGAACCTAATCTCACTACAGCGCCTACTAGGGTCACATAATTCGGTGGTCACAGAATTTGGTGAAACACCTGAACAAATTAGCTTTTTTCGAGATTAATGCAGATATTTGTGTGTGTGCATTCTGCAGTTCTAAAATATTGATTTAATGTTATACACAGTGACTGTTATGCTTACATTTAGGCAGAACCTTAATTTTTTTGGTGACATTTAATTATTGTGAAGTGAAATAATTAAATTACTGTGTATAACATTAAATAAGAATAAATCATTATACATACAGTGGGTACGGAAAGTATTCAGACTCCCTTAAATTTTTCACTCTGTTATATTGCAGCCATTTGCTAAAATCATCTGGATGAAAACCTTCTCCAGAGTGCTCAGGACCTCAGACTGGGCCGAAGGTTTATCTTCCAACAAGACAATGACCCTAAGCACACTGCTAAAATAACGAAGGAGTGGCTTCCCAACAACTCTGTGACTGTTCTTGAATGGCCCATCCAGAGCTCTGACTTAAACCCAATTGAGCATCTCTGGAGAGACCTAAAAATGGCTGTTCACCAACGTTTACCATCCAACCTGACCGAACTGGAGAGGATCTGCAAGGAGGAATGGCAGAGGATCCCCAACTCCAGGTGTGAAAAACTTGTTGCATCTTTCCCAAAAAGACTCATGGCTGTATTAGATCAAAAGGGTGCTTCTACTAAATACTGAGCAAAGGGTCTGAATACTTAGGACCATGTGATATTTCAGTTTTTCTTTTTTAATAAATCTGCAAAAATGTCAACAACTCTGTGTTTTTCTGTCAATATGGGGTGCTGTGTGTACATTCATGAGGAAAAAAAATTAACTTAAATGATTTTAGCCAATGGCTGCAATATAACAAAGAGTGAAAATTTTAAGGGGGTCTGAATACTTTCCGTACCCACTGTACATATATAATAAAACCTAAAATACATTTTTGCTGTAACTAGGCTACAATGACTTTTTAAAGTCACTCTAAAATAGGAACCAAAGCGCAATCCGTTATTAGTCCTATAGATTCAGTTTTCTACGTATTGTGTAGCTTAATGTGAATAAAAAATATCTGTGTGGAGTTTGTATATTCTCTCTGTATTGACATTATTATTATTATTATTATTGAGAAGTGAAAGGAACGAATAACGATTCCCTCTCCTTGCGCAGACACAAAGACCTTAGTAAAGTTATTCATAGTCGAGTTTGGCCCTGTCCAAAATCGCACCCTAAACCCTCACGGTCGTCCTCTGAGTCCACACTTTTGTGACGTAATGCCACTTTGACTGTCGGGTAGAAGTCTGCTGTGGAGCTCACCCCAGTGCAGGCTCGGCAGAAGTGCGCATCGAGGGCACATAGCAGCCGCAAAGGGGGAGCTTGCGAGCAGCCTTCTGAAAGCTAAAATGATGAATAGGACACCCTACGTGGACTTAACGTACATGTGCATGCTGTGGCCATTGTAAGTCCGCAAGTGCACATGAATGTACCATGTGGGACAAGGCCTTCGTGGTCACCAGGATCAATGGCACAGATAAACTTAAATTATTATTAGAATAATCCTGGCCTGTCTCTGCTCTCTTGGCCGCATAGCAGGCTCATAATTGTATGGCTGTGGTCCGTTAAACGACTCCAGAAGCCTCAAGTAGCATATTTATAAGTGTATTTTAAACAAAATCTAGGTCCTACATTATTTTTCTATACATTGGTCTCTAACCTGCAATATGCACTTTAAAATATTATATTTTCTTCTAAGAAATAATATTATGACAAAACGTTCTTTAAAAAAAGTAATTATTTTAATCACCTTGACTTACTTGCATGCTTTATTTGTGAATAAACTAAGGAATAGTTCACTCAAAAAAAGTTTGCTGAAAATTTACAAACCCTCTGGCCATAAGACGTAGATTAGTTTATTTCTTCATTTGAACAGAGAAAGGAGAAATTTTGGCTACGCTATAATGGATTATGAACATGTGTTTTGGCCAGATGTGACCGTTTAAAGTTAAAACACCTTAATGGTGGATTTGTTTCTTACAGACACGCAGCTTTCCACTTAACAAGACACTAATTGATGGACTGGAGTCATGTGGATTGCTCAGGGCTGGTTCCAGACATTTGGAAGGCCTAGACAAAGTTAATGTTGGAGGCCCCACACCCCCAAGAAAAAGCACCTGAAACAAATATGATTCCTGACATTTTTATTTATACATTTCATTTTAAATTTTGTATATTTTTATTTATACCGTACTGGTCAAAAGTTTGGACCCATTAGCTACTATTTTTTATATTTTTGAAAGAAGTCTCTTATGCTCATCAAGCCTGCATTTATTTGATTAAAAATACAGAAAAAACAGTAATACCGTTGTCAGTCATGGACTTCTTTTGTGTTTTCATTTAGTTTCTGTCGTCCTTTGATTTAGTTAATTCAGTTCACCTGTGTTTGATTAGTTATCATCCTCACCTGTCTGTTCCTCGTTATCTCACACTACTTAAGTTCCCCTTTCAGTTCAGTTAGCTACTGGTTATTAGTTGTGTATGCTGCTTGTGTTACCCTGTGGTCATTTTTCGTTTTTGAAAGTCTTCTTTTTTTGTTATGGCTCACCCCAACTTCCTACTTTCCCTGGAGGACCACACCGGACTATTCCTGGACATTTCCCACAGAACCAGCTACCCAAACGGCGCGCTCTGCTCATTCTACATCGCGAGCCTCAACACCGTGTGCAGACTGCAGTTGTCTGGGGAAGGTCCTCGAGGGAGCTTCGCCGCATTTGTGGAGTGGGTGCTGGTGAGCAACGGATCCTCGTTCACCGTTGGTCAACCGTCACTCCGCTGCGCAGAGTGTTTGCTAGAGCCCACCACAGACGGAGAGCCAAAGCCCGCCGTGACCAATGAGCCATCACCAGAGAGGGCGACTGAGCTGAGGATTGCCCCGGAGCCTCATGGATCATCTGACCAGGTGCAAGAGCCGGCAACAACGCATGCGACGGTGGATGTAACAGTGGAGAGTGAGGACACGGAGAAAGCACCGCCCACTGTACCACCGCTGAGGGGGAGCTGAGGAAGGACTCAGGGTATTTAATTGACTGTTATTCAGAACTACCCAGTCTTCTGTCATCATCTGAAATCTCTGTCTGTCCTGTTACGGCCAAGGAGGCCGTTTTTTAACTGTCTGTCTGCCCCATCACGACCATGGAGGTCATGCCCGAACTGTCTATCTGCCCTGAACATTCTGTCTGCCCCTTCACGACCATGGATGTCGTGCCCAAACTGTCTGTCTGTCCTGTCTCAACCATGTAGGTCGTTCCCCTATCTCTGGCGCTCCCAGTGCTGGGAGTGGCAATCTAGTGTGTGTGGGCAGCACACACCATCCCTGAACCCCCGGACTACTCAAAACTCCCACCCAGCCTCCCTCTCCCACCACCTCTTCATCAGTCCTCACCACGACCTCCGCTGTCCCCTGTCAGCCCTTTAGCTCACCCTCAGCCCAACATCTATGATGTGGGTTTGCCGCGGGTCTGCCAGTCTCCATCAGTGTCGTGGCTGGAGGATCCCTTATCTCTACCTCTAGCCTCTGAGTCCCAGACTCCGCCTCGGCCCATCGACCCAGCAGCTCCACCATGGCTCCTAGCTCCCTCCTCTCCACCGGGGCCCGTCAGTCCACCAGCTCTGCCGGGCTCTCTCGTCCCTCTGGCTCCGCCTTGATCAGTCATCGACCCATCATCGTCTCAGGACTCCACTCCTCCGGCTGCACTTCATCGATCTGTCCCACCGGCTCCGTTGGGCTCCTCCCTCCCTCCAGCGCCACCTTGAACCTCTGTCTCTCTGGCTTCTTCTTCCGGACCCCCACCTACGCCTTGGTCGCCTGAGCCATCTGCTCTGCCTTGGCCCTCCGGATCCTCCCCATCGCCCTGGCTCATCGGCTCTCTGTCTCACCCCCAGGCTCCTCTCCCACCTGCTCCGCCACTGTCGGTCGGCCCCCTGGAGTCATCAGCCATCCCTCCACCATGGCTCCTCCTTCCATCTGAACCGCCCTGGCTTCTCCTGTCTCCTTCCTCCATCTGATCCGCCATGGTCGTCGCCACCATGGTCATCCACTTGCCTGCCTTGGATTACCTTTGTCTTTGTGCGCCTTCAACAAAAGTGTGACAATCGTGAAATATTATTAAAATTTAAAAATGGTTTTATTTTACTACACTTTAAAATATAATCTACTTCTGTGATGCAAAGCTGAATTTTCATCAGGCATTACTCCAGTCTTCAGTGTCGCATGATCATTCAGAAATCATTCTAATATGCTGATTTATTATCAATGTTAGAAACAGTTGTGCTGCTTAATATTTATTTTATAATATTTTTCAAGATTTTTTTTGATGATTAAAAAGCTGTTTAAAAATAGAAATCCTCTTTAAACAATAAGTCTTTACTCTCACTTTTTATGAATTTAACACATCCTTGCTGAATACAATAATACAGTTTTTTCTGTATTTTTGACCAAATAAATGCAGGCTTGATGAGCTTTTGATTTTTTCTAGCTATTCTGCTAGTCCGCTCAAGACGTTTCGTGTCTGGGCGCATCAATGGCACTCACGCACTTCTAAACTCGTAATAAACTGGTGAATGATCTGTCCAGAAATGACGCTGATCGACAGAACAAGTTATATATAGAATACATTGCAATCAATCCAAAACAGATGACGACAACAACGCACACAACTGCATTAGGAGCTATACTTCTTTGCGTGCCTATTTAGCCTTTTGCTTCACAGCACCTGAAGGATGTGTTCCTTACTGCAAACATTCAGAAGGTGGGACCCGCTTTGAAACGGCAACATTAATTGGTTTAATTGCAGGTCAGTGACAATTCAACTATATCCAATGAACAATGAAGCTAGTATTTTGCTGCCTTTTTTGATTGGTGAACTGAAGTATAGGGAATGTTACAGTTATGGAGGCCCCGCCTTAAAGCCTGAGGCCTGGTGTTGTGCCCAATTCTTACCCCCCCCACCATATTATTACCCCCTAAGAATTGGTAGGTTTAGGAGTAGGTGTGGGAGAGGGGTTAGGATTAAGGTTGGGGTTAGGATTAAGCAATCAGGTAGCGACTTGGACGAGAGGGATAATAATTTGGCAGGAGGTAGAAATTTGGCACAACACCGGCCTTGGGATTACTTGTGGAGTATTGTGATGTTTTTATCAGATGTTTGGACATTCACTGCAGAGAATCCATTGCTGAGCAAGTGATGTATTGCTACATTTCTCCAAATCTGTTCCAATGAAGTAACAAACTCATGTACATATTGGGTGGCCTGAGGCTGAGTAACTTTTTAGCAAATTAAAATTTTTGGGTGAACTATTCCTTTAAGACTATATAGTCATGCCCTCAGCCTTATAATGAAAACAGCCAGAATGTTTTGTTATCAAACATTTGCATTAGATACTCACCCAAAAATGAAAATACAATGGCAATAGCAACATTTCTAATATATTGCTGAAAAGTGTTATTAGTTTTAGCCACAACCTCCACTGTTAAATTCCTGTTTGGTGGGGCACAGTTGGCATCAGTCAACTCCAGCACAGCTTGCACAGCTGCGTTATCTGCATTCACACACACCATCCTCTGCCCATTGTACAAGACTTTTTCAGGAGCCTGAATGTAACTTTTGAGAAATGAGGCCAACTCTCTCAACTCACACGTACAGCTCCAACGGTTCAAATCAAGGTTCAGCACTGAGAGCCAAGACAGATAGGAGAACGCATCCGGACCACTGCGTAGATGATTGCGGGACAGATCAAGCCTGCAGAGATGAGGAAGCCCTCTGAAGCTATCACGTCCTAAGTACACAATGAGGTTGTTGGACAAGTCCAATGTTTCCAGGTTCCTCAGGTCAGCGTGGGCAAAGGTGGTGGAGTTCAAGCCGGTGAGGAGGTTCCCCTCTAGTTGAAGCATTTTTAAAGATCTAGAGCTTTGGAACCAGGAGCTGTCAATGTCATTCAGATTGTTGTTACCAAGCTGGAGAGTCTCCAGTCTGTGGAGCCAGGAGAACATAGAGCTGTTCAGGGATTGGCTGGAGATGCGGTTGTGGTCCAGCAACAGTGTCGTTAGAAAAGAGAGGTTCTGAAAGGCATTTTCCATGATGCTGGAAATGGCGTTGTTGCTGAGTGCCAGAACACTCATGTTGGATAATTCAGAGAGGACCATGTTGTCCACAGAATCAATGAGTCCATCAGTAAGCATCAAAACTTTAGTAGAGCCTGGAGCATCTAAACATGATGAATAAAAAGTTAAATTATCCAACCTCCATACTTAAGGAAATTCTGATAATTCATAATGTAAATCAAAAAGCTTTATAACAGTATAGACTTACGTAAAATGTACAGAAATATCAAGTGTCACTCTATATCTCCTAATAATACAGTAAGATGCTTTAAAGGGGTCATGAACTAAGAAACCAAAATTCCTTTGATCTTTTGACATGTAAAAGGTCATTGTACTATAAAATCATCCTGTAATTTTCAGAACTCAAAATTGTCTTGTTAGTCTAAAAACAGCTTGTATTGAAGCCAGTCTGCCAAAACGACAGCTTGTGGAATATGCCACTCTATGATGTAGCCTAATAGTGTGGCTAAACCCCCGCCTTCACAGAAGATGATCAACGTTTAATCTGCCTGTTTAGCTCCGCCCACCGATTCATGCATGTAGTGTAAATAACAAGAGAGGCAAATGCAGGTATACAGAGAAACCAAACGATAAAGATGGCTCTGAACCATACCTGTCAACACTCCCATTTTCCCGGGAGTCTCCCATATTTCACGCCCCACTCCCGTTTTGTTATTTCTCCCGGGAAACTCCCGTAATTTGTATGGCACTACCTCGTTATATAAATAATCACATCAATATATTATTCCAAGGTTGTCCAGTTGCCAGAACTTGTATGAAACGCATCCTACTCACACAATAGACAGATTTTAAAGGGGTCATGAACTAAGAAACCAAAATTCCTTTGATCTTTTGACATGTACAATGGCCTAATAGTGTGGCTAAACCCCCGCCTTCACAGAAGATGATCAACGTTTAATCTGCCTGTTTAGCTCCGCCCACCGATTCATGCATGTAGTGTAAATAACAAGAGAGGCAAATGCAGGTATACAGAGAAACCAAACGATAAAGATGGCTCTGAACCATACCTGTCAACACTCCCATTTTCCCGGGAGTCTCCCATATTTCACGCCCCACTCCCGTTTTGTTATTTCTCCCGGGAAACTCCCGTAATTTGTATGGCACTACCTCGTTATATAAATAATCACATCAATATATTATTCCAAGGTTGTCCAGTTGCCAGAACTTGTATGAAACGCATCCTACTCACACAATAGACAGATCATACAATTTTGAACCAATTTGTGACTTCAACCTGGCAACCTACAACTCAGTTGCACTGTTGATATCTGTGCGGTAGACAGGGGAAGTTGAATCAAGCATCACTGGTAGAAATGGCATTAGAAAGCTCAGGTGGTGCTATGGCGAAAAAAAAAATATATATAGCTGCAAATCTTACAACAGCTGGAGAAAAATTACGTAACGCAGCACAATAAATCACAATGCCCCAAACGTTGGTTCCCAGAACGTTATTTTTATGGTTTGTTTTTGGTTAGCCAGGAAAGTTTTCTAAACAGAAATAGAACGTTAGTTTTTGGTTTGTAGAATGTCATTCTAATGTTCCCCTAACATTAGTATAACATTACCAGAACGTTGTTTTTTGGCTCCCAGAACGTTATTTTTATGGTTTGTTTTTGGTTAGCCAGGAAAGTTTTCTTAATGGAAATAGAATGTTAGTTTTTGGTTTGTATAATGTTATTATAATGCGTGAAAAGCAGGACAGGGAATGACCAGAGAGATTAGGCACATTCGTGACCCAGTATAGTATAAGCGGCATGGAAATGATCTAGATGCCTAATCAGTATTATAAAAACCATATCTTGTTTTTATCTATTGTTTAATTAACAAAAATAATCTGACCACATCAACCTTCATATGCAAGATTAAACAAAATTACATTTGTCCATTCATATGTAAGATTACGGGGTAATCAGATTTTTAAAAAAAATTCAGCTCCAAATAAAAATGACTTCAACACAATTTATGGTTTATAAAATGTCATTTATTCACAGATATTTAAAAAGTGAATAAACAATTACTTGACTTAAAGTAGGATATCAGTACATTAATTTCTTACCACTGAAGTACAGTTTGTGCAGCCGGTCATTCTTCATGTTCTCTTCATTTAGGCATGTCAAATCCCCCCCGAAATCATATGAAATCATATTTACTCTTATAACTATATTAATTTTAAGTAATCATTCAATAAAGCGATCAATAAACGAACGAGTCAGTCAGCCAGTAAATTGAAATAACTGATCAATTTTTTAATTCCATGAGCGGCTCTCTGTGGAAGACTTGTTAAAGCACGTGCCGGAGCAGCACGTGCAGATCAGAGGCGCGCAGTAAATGAAGATGAAACAAACCCATGAATTTATGATTTCTGTTATCACTCTGTAATTGTAGGGACTTCATTACCCATGAGGGCTAGAGCACGGGGGAGTGATGACATAGGGGGAGGCGTAAATAAAGGGGAGTTCGCGATGTGAGTTAGAGAGATGAATGTGTGCTGCGTGTTTATTGAGAGTTAATATAGAGTACATTATACATGGTGTCAGTAGTGAACCTTAAGAATAGGTTACAGAGAACCAATGCAGAAAACAGGCCGAAAGATGGCTGTTGCAGCAGTGCAGATATCTCATCCAGAGCAGTTCGACTTCTCTGAGTCAGTGGCTTATCCAAGATAGATCAGACTGTTCGAGTGCTTTCGTCTAGAATCTGGATTGAGTACAAAGCCCAAGGAATACCAGATAAACTCCTTGTTATATGCCATGGGAGACTAAGCAGACAATATCTTCGTGCTATTTCTGTTGGGTGAGTCAGACAGAAAGAAATATGACTGTGTCATGGAAGCGTTCAGACAGCACTTTATCGGCAAACACAATGTCATATTTGAACGGGCTCAGTTTAATTGGCGATGCCAAAATTATGGTGCAAATGTAGAGACTTTCATAACAGCAGTACACAACCTGGCGGAACACTGCAATTTCGCGGCATTGAAGGAAGAATTAATCTGAGACAGGATAGTTGTAGGTATCAGAGACAGGAGAATGTCAGAATGCTTATAACTGGATCCAGGGCTAACATTAGTCAAAGCTATCCAAACAGTGCGCCAGAATGATGCAGTCAAGAAACAACAAGCAGTGTTACATGGATCATAATTAAAAGAAACTCACAGCTTGAACGGGAATGCGATAAGTGATAAAGCCTCAAGTAACAAAACAGCCAGACAGATACCAGGCCAATAAAATGAAATAATAATGAGTTTTATTTACAGGTGCATCTCAATAAATTAGAATGTCGTGGAAAAGAAACTTGTGTATTAAATAAATTCAGTGCACACAGACTGAAGTAGTTTAAGTCTTTGGTTCTTTTAATTGTGATGATTTTGCTCACATTTAACAAAAACCCACCAATTCACTATCTCAACAAATTAGAATACTTCATAAGACCAATGAAAAAAACATTTTTAGTAAATTGTTGGCCTTCTGGAAAGTATGTTCATTTACTGTACATGTACTCAATACTTGGTAGGGGCTCCTTTTGCTTTAATTACTGCCTCAATTCGGCGTGTCCGAACTATACCTTAGGATGTTGCTTAAGATAAACCTTCTTACGTGTGACGTTAGCAGGTGCTGTGCATGGCGGTGGTGCTGAATAGGTTGATATCGATGGCTCGAGAATCGATTGTTCAATACAGGAGCTCTTTCACTGCGTTATAGAGCGGGTAAAGTGATTCATTATAAAGAAACGCTTTAGAAATATTAGAAATTGCATTTATCGGGGCTCACTGGATTTATAAAATAATCCAAATTTCAAACTAAATGCAACCTTGGATATCACATACACACACATATACAGTATATATATGTGTGTGTGTGTGTGTGTGTGTTTATGTATATGTATAATTTTGCATGTGTGCGAACCTGCAACCTCATGGCCAAAAGTATTCTGCCTTAGCTACATTAACTGGCTTTTAGGCTTCGCTTGCTTTTGAAAGAGTCATTTATATTATCATGTTCATATATATTATGAAGGCCTGGTCGAGCGCTGATGGGTTGGTGATGAGGATAAGTGTCCCGTCCACAAGGCCAATTACTCAGGGGACACCTGGGACATGGCATTGCCTCCATCACTTCGTGCCTGGCCAAAGGCATACGTAGGCTATATAATCAGTGGTGTGACGGAGCAAAATGTAGTGAACACACCGCCACACCGAGGTCTTACTCAGCCCATATCCATCCCCAACCATCTCCAGAAAACTCCCCACAGCATAAAAACAGAGATCCGCCAGCAGCTGAATTTCGGGGCTTAGTGGGTAGCTCCGTCAAGTTTTTCTCTACAAAGTTTGACCAACAAGATGTAAAAGCTGCTGAATTTGCTCTCGTGGAATTTTTTGTAGCATTGTATCTTTTGACATGGTAACTATTCTGACACTACCTATTATGAAATAGTGCACATACACTAACTAACACCGCGGACGCAGCCGTCTTTGATTTAGGACAACTGTTCGCTGTCTCGCTGCCATAGTTTGACCAAACTCCCCATCGCATTCATTCCCTTTAAATAGACTCCTAATTATGTGCTGCCTAATTGTTTACCAGCCGATGTGCCTTTGTATATTATAATGGAAAAACTAACAACCATCAGTATAATGTTTTATTTTTTGCATAAAAATACTTCAATTAATTGAACACTGGGTGTATTACAACTTTAGAATTTTAATATTTATTTGGTTCTGCACTTTTTCTTGCCACAGAATGGCCACTAATGGAGTGAACTGTGAACAGCAATAAGGTATAGCTAAGAGTGGTCCAGACTAACCTTACGAACAAATGACTTACAGAAGGTATACTTAACTAAGAACGTTTCGAGAAACACGTATTAACGTAAAGGTTCAAATTAAGGTATAACTTACGGACGACGTAGCATTAAGAAGGTTTCAGGAAACGAAGCCCAGTTCTTCTCCTCCTTAGCCCAGGTAAGATGCCTCTGACGTTGTCTGTGGTTCAGGAGTGGCTTAACAAGAGGAATATGACAACTGTAGCCAAATTCCTTGACACGTCTGTATGTGGTGGCTTTTGATGCCTTGACCCCAGCCTCA